TTAGTGGGTAGTCTGATGTACCTCACAGTTACACGACCCGACCTTATGTATGTGGTTTGTTTAATATCTCGGTTCATGGCTAAACCAAGGGAAGAACATATGAAGATAGCAAAGAGGGTGTTGAGGTATTTGAAGGGTACACATGGTTATGGTCTCGTGTACAGGAAGAATGCTTCTACAAAACTCAAAGCGTACACCGATGGCGATTATGCAAGAGACATCGAAGACAGAAGGTGCACCTCTGGCTATGTTTTTCTTTTAAGCGAAGCAACGACATGCTGGAGCTCAAGAAAGCATCCTATTGTCACTTTATCATCAACGGAAGCTGAATACATGGCTGCAACCTCGTGTGCGTGCCACTGTGTATGGATACGAGGGTTGCTCGAGGATCTTATGGAAAACCAAAGTGAAAGTCTTGAAGTCTTTTGTGACAACAGTTCAACCATTAAGTTGTCCAAAAATCACGTGATGCACAGGACTAAACATATCGACGTAAGATACCACTATTTGCGAGAGCTCGTGAATCAAGTAGTGAAGCTAGTGTTATGTGGAACTAAATATCAAATTGCTGATATAATGACAAAGCCTTTAAAGTTGGAAGCATTCACCAAGCTGAGAAATTTACTTGGAGTTCAAGCACTGGAAGATTAAACTGATGCCTCTTGAAGCACTTCAGTTTAAGGGGAGGAATTGTCAGAATAGTATTAGACTATTAGTCAGTTTTTGTGTTTGCAAAATAATAGGTCTCGTACCTAGTATTTAGGAATTAGTTTGTTTTTGAAAGCTTCTTAGTTTGTTAGCATTTTGCTCCCTTTTTTATGCTTTCTGTTATGGGTGCAACGTTCGTTTGTAGGCTATTTAAAGCCAAGTTTGTTCCCTGGAATAATATCAATCATTTGGTATTTGAAAGCAATGTATTCTCTGATCCTTCAATATCGAAGTAAAACTTATAAAATTATCGTTTCTTTAGTATAACTATTAGAATGTGTCTTAAGGGGATGAAACAAAAAACTTGATCAAGAAACAGAGCATAACAAGTGCAATGCAACTAAAACTGCAACTCCATAAACCATTATTTGTGTTTCTACTCTTCAATTGAAATTTCCACCATGTTTACAGAATTCATCAACTGCAGACATCAAACCGACTATGATGCATGTTTATGATGACTTGGGTTGCAAAAATACAATATATGACCCTAAAAACCTTCAATAAATTCTCTGCAACTACTTAAGACACTAAAAATCCACTCTTACCCTTGATGGCTATCACTTTGATTTCCATTCTTGCTCCTTGAGAACAGCTTTTCGAAGCTGTTTTTGCTTTTAGAATGACCACCAAAATTGTTCAATGAAACAGCAGATGAAGTTGATGAAGAAGAAGATGGTGGTGATTCCACATCATCACTGTTGATTGAAGGACTGCAGTTGTTTTCGGTTTGTTTTGTAGGAATCAGAGTCTTTTTAGGCATGAATGTATCGTTGGAATGCAACTTCCATAATTCTAATCCAGTTTTTGGGACAGATGATCCTCCAGAAAAGCCAGGGAGATTTGCAGTGTCAATTAGGAAGTCTTCGAGTGTTGCTAACGACTCTAGTTGTCTAGCAAGTGATGATATTGTCTTTTGGCATTCAGACAGTCTATCAGCTGCTGCTACCTCAAGATCCTGTAAATAATGCATTTTAGAAATACTGTTGATATAGCATCTTTTCAGAAATAGCGTCTATCCAAAGGCTGTTTTTTTGGAGTATATAATATTTATATAAGGCAAATAAATAACATATAAATGCACGCACCCTCCTCATTTTCTGTGAGAGGTTTGAACCCCGGACCTCTTGGAAGGCTGGGGCTCTACATACCATTAGACCAAAGACCCTTTGGTCTGAAGGATGTGTTCTATATTGATGGTTTGGGAGATGAAGATGATCTTTTATATTCTCTTATTAGCATTATATTTATCTTGTTTTTTAGAGTTTTGAGTTTTCTAACAAGAAGGAAACTTTATGTATTTAAACCCTACCTTCTAGGTTTCCTACGTGTAGAGAAATAATTAATTTCCCAAAAAGTTACATGGTATCAGAGCCAATTTCTACCACTCTGGACTGACACTCTAGGGCTATCTGTATTCGTCTAGCCCCCTCTTGACACTTTGTTTAGTCTTTGTTGGAGGGGGTGTGTTAGAACTTAGAACTCCACAGCAGCTAAAGCTAGAGCAATTCTTCTTATATGTCGGAACCTCCCTTCTCTCCTCAAGGGCTCTTTGGAAGAGTATCTAATGGGGTTCCACATATTCTCAATTATATTTAAGGAGCATTCAGTTGTCCTATGAATAAGATGGGTAGAGGCAAGGCCTGCATACACCTCCCCCCCCCAACCCAAAAGATACTACGTTTGTGTGGGATATACTGGGTTTGTTTGGTCTGGATTCTGTTGTATAATTCATACTGGGTTCATTTTTGGTCTACCACAACTACATTGGGATAAAAGGTTATACATGGAAACAATGACTACAAAAAAGCGGATTAAAGTAACGCTGATTATTATTGAGGTCCAGAAATATGGTACTCAACTACAAGCGAGTACAAATAACAATGAAACATAAGAAAGCTTACCTGTTTTACTTTCAATTCACCACTTGAAGTAGCAGCCAGGTGAAGCTTAATTTCCTCGGTTTTTCTTGCAAGTTCCTTCTCCAATCGTTGACATTTGATTGTCATTTCAGATGAGAATCTCCTTTCCTTTTCGATATCTGCCTTTATTGAGTCAACTTCTGCAGACATGATTCGGGCCTCTGTTTCCATATTAACAAGCCGAGACTTGAGCAACTCCTTTGACTCATTCACCAAACTTAGTTCCTTTTGTAGGCCATCCATCTGAGTTTTGGTATCAGCGAGTTGAGCATTTGACAAAGCTAGAGAATCTTTGGTTGCATTTAAAGCACTCTCCAGTTCAGTTTTTTCGGCTTCTAATTTCTGCAATTTCTCTTCAAGCTCATATACCCGTTGACCCATTACTTCAAGTTCAGTTTTCAAGGAATTATCTTCGATCTCAGAAGTACAATGGCATATTTCATTCTGGCCCTCGGATAGTGAAGCAATCCGCTCCATTTCCAAAAAGTCGTCCATAATATTATTGATTTCGACAGAAGAAGGTGGTACATTTTTCGCCACACACTTTCCACTTTTGAATTGATCAAGCTCGGCAATTAGCGCCAATGCCCATGAATCTGAGCAGCCATGCTCATTTTCATTATGTTCCAGTTTGTTCAACTTAAATGAGTCGATATCTAATGCATTTAGCTTTTCCGCACTGTCTGATTGACTGTCTGTAAGAGAATCGACATAAAATGAGGAAATTGAAACAGCTTTATGATCGTTAATGGAAGGCGATTTACGAGCCAATGACTGCAGCTTCCTGCACTCAGCTTCAAGCTTTGCTACCCTCTTTATGCTCTCTAGCTGTTGTTTGCTAGCAGCTTCTGCGGCTTGGGTGCTCAAATCCCTTTCAATGGTTCGAATTTCTAATTCCTCTGATTGGACAGAGAGCTCAAACTTAAGGGCCAAGTTCTCTTTCTCTAATGTCTCAAGTTTTAGGAGGATGTTTGGATCAGCAGGAGGAGGATATTTGGATTTGTTGGCCTGGAGATCAGAAAGCTGGATTTCGAGCTCCGTTTTAGTCAGTTCCGGTTCATGCGTTTTCTCCTCTATAACCTCTTTAAGCCGTTGTTCCTGCTCCTCCCTTGCTTGCCTTAATTCTTTGACACATTCCTTGAGAGCACCATCAAGATGGTTCGTCCGAACTTCAAGAGCCAAGTTCTGCTGCACAGCTGCCTCAAGCTGTTGTCTTAACGTTGTAACTTCATTTTCTGCCTTTTCCCAACCTAAATTATCAACATATTAACACAATTAACATATGAGAGCAAACACTTGGGGCTATGTTTGGCAAACCAGTTGTTAACCGATAACTAGCCACCTTTGATGAAACTAGTTGTTAGCTGATAAACTAACTGTAAACTGAAAAGCCAGATGTAACTGAAAAGCCAGATGTAACTAAAAAGCTAGTTGTTAGCTGATAAATTAATCATGTTTGGTAAAAACTATTTGATAAGCTAGATGCCATTGTAAAATGACCTAAAAGGACATGTTCAGAAATGAATTGGAAAAATATAATAGGGCATAATTGGAAAAAGTGAAAAAACCCTGGAACTTGTTGAAATGCTATGTGAAGTAGTGTTTCAAAAAGCTAGTTTAAGGCTCACCAAACAGAATTTTTCAGTAAGCTCAAAAAATAAGCTAGCTCATAGTTGGCAAACATGGTTTAGAAGACGCACCAAATTATAAGAATATAAATGGATGAATATCAAGTGCAATCAAGCTTTCTTAAGCAGTCAAAGCATTAGATAAAACAGACATCTTTTACCTGCAACTGCTTCTTCGGCAACTTTTGCATGTTGCTTAACCAAATCTTCTTTAGCACCAACGTTAACAAGAGCCGCTGATAACTTTTCTGTCAGGCTCTTAAAACTGTCATTTACCTCTGAGTTCTGGCTCGATATTTTTGAGGTGACTTCAGGTGATTGTGTATGGTTCAGAGATTTTCTTGAGCTATCCTGCTCCACCTAAAAAAGGAGATGATGATACAATGAACATTGAACTAAAACTATAAGGATTCGAAACAAATTGATCTTCAAGTATAAGAAATATAATATACACTCGTTCAAAACGTGCGTTTGGTATGCCGGATTGTGAAGGATGGGACTGAACGCACAAGAGTGAGATAGGCAGGTGAAAGAATTGTCGAAGGTTTTAGGGTTTTAATTTGACATTGGTAGTTTAGTAATTTATCAATCTTGTCTCATCTGCCTATTTTTGTTCTATCAACAAAAAATGCATTTTTATCCTGCTTAGATCCTGTCTTGTCCGGGCTAATGTCACATCAAACACTGGACAACAAGTTTTTGTACTGTACTATCCGGCAGAAAGTATGGTGGAAAATGGTCATTATTATTCGGATACTCCTCATGTATGTTAGGAGCACCAAAAAGTTGTGGAAATTTTAGTTTTCCATCGTATGTACTACTCTTATATCTCAGAATTGCGACATTCTGCTCTACCTGAAAGAAGTTCTTTAAGGCTTGGGCATGGGATTAATTGAGGTGCGCGCAAGTTGGCCCAGACAGACGGACGCCCACATATGTAGAAAAAAGACAGACTTAACAAGGACAACATTTTGACACTAACACAACATAATGTTTGAGAAAGAGAAGTTGACATCAACGATGGTGCCGAAGTTGTGCCTTGTGTTGTGCCTAAGAACACACATAGGCACCTTCACAAAGAGGATTGACTCCATAAATAACAAGTACAGTTTTGAAGTAAGAAGACCCAATAGAGAATTATCTCATATTCATCTATGAATACAGAAAAGGCTTAATGATGATATGATCTTAACCTGTGCATATGCCAAATCAATTTAGTATGTACTACCTGCCTATCCCTTAAGGAACTTTCAATAAATAACTCAGTCATGATGCTATTCATTAAATCAATTTATTCTTTGGGTAACAAGTCAATAAAAGAATTACTTTTAAGACTCCAGCAAGAACTATAAAATCTACTTTCTAAGAGGACATTTGCTTTTAATGAGCATTGAACATCTGAAGCATTAGAACATTATATATGTATATAGGGTCAGGTTCAAGAGAAAACTACAAAAAAAAATGAAAAACCAAGGAACACTATGGTAACCGTTCATCGGGACGGTATGCATATGTACATACAAGTAATTTGTAAGTAATTTCCGGTATGCACATGTGCATAACATGCATATGTGCATAAAAACCAAGAAACAACTTCAATTACTTGTATGCACGTGTGCATATCATCCAAATGAATGGTAACCTGAGTGTTCCTTGGTTTTTATTTTTAGGGGTTTTTTTTCCTGAATCTCCCTCCCTCCTCGTCTCTATACATATATATCAGCAGAAAATGCCATAGGATTTGAACCTTTTCATCGGAATTACTCTCGGAATGAGAAGAAATTGATGTCGAACTTTCTGTTTCGCCAGGACTCCTCTCAGAGGACTTCCTCTTCCACAACCAACTCCTCTTCTCCATCTCACTGAAGCACTAGATTTCAAACCAGTATTCACATATGCATCTGCACAACTAGAATCACCACCATATTTCTGATTACCACTTCAACTCTAAATTAAATATATCATAACCAACAAAATTTTAAAACAAACATGAAGTAAAAACAAAACAAAAGTAGAAACCGTGCCTTTTAAACCAAATAAAACCTAACCCAACCTAAAACAAATTATTTGTAACTTGTATTGAAAGCAAATATCTAACTAAAATAGAAAAGAAAGCAGAAGATTCTCAGCTGCAAATCATTATAAACAAGTTCATAAGATTTGAATCATCAAATCCCATTTCCCAAAAGAGAAAACGAACTTCACTCTTTCAAAATCAACCCAATCTTCCAATACAACCATATGGAGCCAGAATAGATCGTATCATCAGCAATGAATGGAGCAGTATTTAGCAACAAAAGAGGGCATTCAGCTGAAATATCATGAAATGCCCAATATTCTCAACATTCGACTGACAGTCAAACGGCAAGAAGAAGAAGAAGAACGATTACCCAATACCCGAAAAATCAAAACACAAGACATCGAATCTAATCCGCTGAATGGAATCTATTTTCACCTGGATAAATTTGTTAAAGTTTGAATTGAAGAGAAGAGAAGGAAGTAGGATTTTAGCGTAGAAGGAGAAAAGAATAAGAAGTTTGAGAAGAAAACAAATCTGAATCGATATATACCTTTGACTGGAGATGAAGAAGATGAAATAAATGTTGAAACCCAATACAACAGGAAGCAGCAGTGCAAAGATCTGAGGAATGTCAGAGCAATATCTGATGAAAACAAACAACCCCACTGGAATTATTAATGGGTTTTATTCTATGAAGCTTCTGGTTCTACCATGGCAGGCAGATATAACATGAGGTAGAGTCAGGGAGCATGTGATGGTGAGTGAATATCGATACTTTATGAATGCTTTTGGATTTTTTTTCCTTTTCTTTCTTTATAGAGAAAAAAAGATGGTAAAATTATTTAAGTTTTGAAATCAAGATTGCAATCCATTCCCGCCCATTGATGTCGAAATTGTGGAGCATTTATTCGTGTGAACTGCAGACGCTCCCATCTGGGTTTCGGCCTTTTTGGGCTGATTTTGTCTGACATCGCTGGGAACTGCGAGACAAAGATTGGTCTGCACTCCACCGTTGACCACAAAGGAATCACAGTGAAACAATGTAGTTCATAAAATATAAAATTAATATTATTTTTTTTAATTAATCAGAATATCCAATATGTTATGTAAATCAACTAATTTTAGAACAACCCAACTGTTTTGCGTATAGTTCGTAGTCACCGTATTTGAATCTTTGTGGTAACAAGAAGTTTTTTATTCATACTTAAATTTGAACTGAAACTTCCAGACATTTTTGATCTTTTGAGACAAGTTTAAACCAATCAGATGACACCATTATTGTTATTAATATTATTCGGTTTCAGGTTATTTGGTTTTCCACTTGGACGTTAAGTTAATCAAATAAATATAAATTGTTCGATTGGGTTTTTGATTGTTTATGTTATACCGAGACATCGTAAAATGCAAAGAAATAGTTGGAAAAAAAAACCATAAACTTAACCGTCGATCAAATCAAGAACATTATAACAAATAAAATAATTTTCAATGGGTTGGGACACGACAGTTGAGGGGAGGAGCATAGACTTTAAAATTGATGCATGAATTATGACTTAGAGAGTTGTAATGCAAATATGTGATGATAGGAATTAGGATCTAAAAGGTTGTTTGGTAGTTGTTGAATGATTTAATGCAGAATGAGTAAATGGTCAGAATGATTAGAAGGCTCTCATGATATAGTGCAAAATAAAATATAATTGTTTGATAATTATTTACAATGAAAGTAGGGCGCTGAATAGTTAAATGAGACCCATGATGCAAAATCATTCAGAGAAATTTTAGAATCATTAAGAGACATAGTTTTCTTTTGCCAAACAAGATTCACCTCTTAACGATTCAAAGATTGTCTCTTAATGGGGCCATTAAGAGGTAAACAAACAACCCCTAATGTAACAACTCTGCACTTTTGGATTTCCAGGTTAGAACCTTATTTCGGAATCTTCATTAGAAAACTAAGTCTTTTAGGATTAACCTTATCCAGAGTATGATCTTGAAGAGGTCGCCTATTCGATCAGAGGCTCTGGCGTCAGCCACATAGGCTCTGGTACTATCTACAGAGGCTCTGTTGCCTCTTCTCAGAGACTCTGTGTCTTTTCACAGAGACTCCGAAAATTCTTCACAGAGACTCTGTGTCTCTTCACAGAGGCTCTGGCATCTCTTTGCAAGAGCTCTGTGTCTCTTCACAGAAGCTCTGGCGTCTTTTCTTCGCAGAGGCTCTGTTGTCTTCTTTCTGAGGCACTTGTTGCCCATGATCATTTCAGTGCGGCAGCTGGTCTTGTTCCAGACTTGGACATTTTGGTTATTTTAGATTTTTGGGTCTTAAATTAAGGAAATGTATAAGTCCTTGGGCTTGGGCCTTTAGAGGCCAACCCACTACTCTTCTAGAAGCCTCATATAAATACCCTCCCTTCTCTTTTGAAAACTCTTCATTATTCAAAAAGCTCTAGCCTTTCTCGTTCTCCCTCTCTAAAAAGTTCATCACCTTCGAGCCAAACTCTTTTCCCTACAAGTTTAGGATCGCTGCTGTTTCGAATTGTTCTTTTCTGCCTCGTCTTCAAAAAGGTATGCTCCTAAAGTCATCTATTCCTCTTTAAGGTGTTCAAATTCCTATGTTCTTTTCCTGCACAACTCAAGTTTCAGAATTTAAAGATGGTGAGATTATCCATCGAAGACATGCATATGTCTTCATCAGATGATAATCTGTGACCCATAAACCTTTTTAATCCCAAAAGAGAAGAAGAGAGTTCTTACATTCTAGGAACCGATTGCACCTTTGGGTGACTTGGGTCTTGCATGCATCTCTAAATCAAATCTTTCATCTTGTAGCTTTCCGAGACCCAAAAATTCCCAATTGTTTTCTTTTCCTTTCTGGATCTTAGTCAAGAAATGAGAATTTGGGGTATTATCTGTCTCTATTCCTGGAAATGTAGAGTCAAAATCATCCCCATTTGCTGCCATTCTTGGGCATGCAACTGGATTTGGGGAGGTGTGCGACTCGAGGTTTTAATTGTTCTTGGAAAGGGTGTTAAACTCACCCAAAATCTTCAAATTCCAACAGATGGCGGCTGCCATCATTTGCTTTGAAAGGGCATTAAATGATGCCATTATTTGAATTTTGGAGATATTCGTTAAGGCTAATAAAGTATCCGCTACATTGGTATTAGTATCTGGCGGATTGCATTAAGAACAGTTTTTACCCAACTTAAGTTTTGGAGGTTTAGRAGTTCTTATTAAGTATTGGTTGCTCTGTCAGGAAGTCCGAGCAGGTGATAGCAGGTCTCTTAAGGAAACAATTGATATTCGCCAAACTGTGAGTTCACGGCCCCACTTTTACTTTTTTGTTATTTTATGGGGGAAATGCATGACAACAAGCTTTGCATGTTTAATTATTTGAAACCTCCGGACTATGGAACTGCATAGTCGGGTTTCTAAGTTGTATTTGGTACTGTTTTGCACTATAATATAAATGCTAAATTGATATGCTTGAGAATAAATGTTTCCAAATAAAAGTCCCTGTCCGTACACGCTACTTGTTAACTCGGGTACATTCCCGGGCCGTGGTATTGTGGATAGCCGCTATTGTGTTGACAGTCCCACCCAGAAAGGGGTGCACAATTACCTATGTTTTTTCAGCCTAATCATGTGGAATTTGGACCACCGCTGAATTAGTGCTTTATCGAACCGTGGGACCTAAGTAGTGAACGAGCTACTTCTGGTTGTTCGAATAATTATGGGGCAAGTTGTTCAGGTAAGGCTCAGTAGCATCTCAAGTATTTCATCGTTTAAGATTTACATTTATTGAGTGCAATGAAACCGCATATGCTTGCTATTACTTGGTTTATGCATCTACGGTCTTTATGCATGTGAAAACTCGTGAAACTCACCAACTCTTTGTAGTTGACTCTGTTTTATGTCATGTTTTTCAGGTACTAAGTAAGTTATGTGGACTCTGGGAGCATTACTTGGATCACATCGATTAAGACAATTTTTATTGTATTTGAAAATACTTTTGTAACCTTGGAATCCTGTTAAGTCGATGAACTGTTTATTGTGAATCTTTGTAAAATGTGTTTCTCTTAAACTGTTGCCAAGACTCGTTTGTCTGTTAGCATCCCGTGTTTCCGCTTTAGCGGGGTGTGACACCTAAGGCCCTTACCTTTTTAATTATTGGGGGCATATTAGTAATTTTAGGTTAAAAAAACCCGTAAAATGACATGTTTTGGAGGTTTGTTGGGGCTATTCGCCCCCTATCGCTTTTCCTTAGATCCACCCCTGGGTTATCGGATAATTCAAAGAAAGATGAAAACTGAATAAACCGTGCTAATGATATTGAACATGTGGTGGATGATTGGAAGATATTTAAGTCGGTTATCTTTTATAATGTAATATAAATACGTTTGAACAATTGTATATTTATTTTAAAAAATATGTCGATATCTCTTTATCTCCTTCTAGATCAGTAGTCTTTTATGATATTAGATATTGTGTTTTGTAGCTTTCTTGAAGAGAGTAATAGTAGCAAATATGTTATATGAGTTTTTTTTTTTTTTTTTTGAAAAAGAGACGTGCATTTGAGTAGTTATTGTCGAGTGGTTCAAAGCTGTGCATTGACGAGTGGTCTGAAGTTGTGACAATGTCATGTTATTTAAACCCATGGATAGAGAGAATTTCGGTGTCATGGTAATCATTTTTAAGAGTTCTATAAATTTAGAGAATTTTAAACTCTCTCTCCTTATTTCTCTATTTTAGAAAATTTATTGAAGAAATTACTCAAAATCTTTATTTTCTCGATTACAGAAATTTGTTGTAGATGCATTCTGACACCTCAAAGTATGGGCTATTTGTAATAATTATTATGTGGAAGGACTAAAATTGACAATTAATGGAAGTATTTTGACATAATGGTTGAAAACTTGAAATGTTAAATAATAAAAATTGAGGATTTAATTTAAGAAGTTATGAAATTTCTTCAAATTAAATTCAAATAATTTGGAAATTGGAAAGGGGCCATTTTTGTGGTGTATGTATGGGTGGAAACTTGAATCCCTTTAATGGTTGTTTTTGTATGAGTCTAAGGGAATAATGTTTAAGGAGTGTTATGAGTGAGTGGTTGTTTGTTTACTTTTTAATAGTTTTATTAAGAGATAATATTTGAATCGTTAAGAGATGAATCTTGTTCGGCAAAAAAATCTGTCTCTTAATGGTTTTAAAAACTCTCTGAATGATTTTGTATCATGGGTCTCCCTAAACCATTCAGCACCATAATTTCATTATAAACAATTACTAAACAATTATATTTCATTTTGCACTATATCATGAGAGCCACTTAATTATTCTGACCACTTAATTATTATGCAAAAAACCATTCAGCAACGGCCAAACAGCCCCTAAGAGTTTTTGTTTGTTTTTCTAAAATTACTTTTTAATATCTCTGAAGTTTGATTTATTCAGACGTTTAAGTATTAAGAGCGTTTGTTTTATTTTGAAAACAAGAACTTAAAAGCTCCAAGTGTCCTCTGAATTTTTAAGTGGTAAATGTATCATTTAGTACCTCTTAATCCTAATCTGCCCCCTATCACGTGGTTCATATTTTGGGGGTTGGAAAAGATTTGTTAACAAAAAACTATTCTATCTTTTATACTTTGACCAATTCAGATTTCAGACTTCAGATTTGTTAGTGCTATTTTGACCTATTCAGACTTCAGATTTGTTAGTACTATTTTGACCTATTCAGACTTCAGATGTGTTAGTACTATTTTGATCTATTCAGATTTCATACTTCAAACGTAAAAAACAAACAATCTTACTGATACATATTTCAGACTTCAGGACCACCTCTTATAAATCAGAAGTGAAGCTATATTTCAGCACCTCTTAAAAAACAAAGTCACATAAATCTTGCATTGATTTAGAAACTATAAGGTTGAGAAAGTGAAAGACAATGATGTATGAACGTCGTTAGAAAATATACAAGAAATAAAAAAAATAGACGTTTATAAAATTCATAACAAATCGTTCAGTTGTCAGAATAGGGTGTGTGATATTTATTTGGAAATCTTGAGATGTGTACTGCAAAACTAACTTCGTGTTACAGATACAATCTGAATCTGGTTCTAAGTAGGTCAAAATTGATAATGTCTAAAACTAGTTGAATGTTAAGACAACAACACTGCATCAATTTTAGAAAAAAATCTTATAAAATTGATTATTACTCCAAGACTTGGGATCATGTGAGACTGAGATCAATGGTTTTTCGTGAGACTCGTAAGATCAATTCTCAACCTTTGGATTAGATCTACAATCTGAACATTCATAATCACAAAATTACCACGAGACTTCTCAATAATCACAAATTTGTCACCGTATAATTTTAGACCATTAGATCATTAGCTTATAAAGTTGATCAATGAACATAAATTGGTCTCATGAGTCTCACTAAAAACCTTTGATTTCACGTGAACCCAACTCATCACTCCAATTAATATGATTATTGAATTTATGGAATTAAATAGAGTTTTCTTTTTCCTTCTAAAAGTTTCATTTAGAAGTAATGATATCATTTAGATTGAAACATGTTTGCTCCTGGATTTATGCCTTTCAGTAGACTTGATACTTGTTTAAGAGGGTATGTATGACCATAATGATCAATAATTGACCTAGTGGCTCTAATAATAAATATTTAATATTATTAAAATATAATTAATATTAAATAATAATATTATTAAAATGTAGTTAATATACCAATAACAATAATATAAAGAGCAAAATACATGATGGGATAACAATGTATTTTCATAAATTTATTTATTATGGTTTATTTTTAAATTATTTTTTGTTAGGATTTTGTACCTTGAAAATTTTATCTATTATAGCAATACGTAATCATTAATTTGAAATAAGATGACATGACACGAGTTATCTGGTTTTTCATGTCATGTCATTGTCCATGTAAGATATCCAGTTGTAACATATAGCTGATCCATCATTTCTTATTACAACATTGTACTTTCCAAAAAATTGATTTTACATATTATTTAATAAATATATTAAATTAATTCAAAAAAATATATAAATTATTCATTAATATAATAATATTAAGAAAAACTTGTAGAGCATAATTTACAATTTTAACATTTTTGAAACTTGTTTAAAAATATGTATTTTATAATCTCACCAAAGGAGAAGTCTTAACCATTATTGCTACCCATAAGGTTGACATTCCATGGTCTCACCTACAAGTATCAAGTGGCTTGGGTGGGTAAAGAGTTCAAATATCACCAAAGCTTATAAACGGTGAGTGAATTCATTTGTTGTACATAAAAATATTATATACTTCAAAAAAAGACTGTATTAATGTCAAAGAGGACTCAGATAAACGGGTATCATACTCCTTTAAATGTGTGGTTCCCTGTATTTTTATAGTACTGACTGTAAAATATACTAAATGCAAGCAAAGATTAGAGACACCAGCCATTACACCAAATATGCAACAATTAAAACCTACTTTTAACAAGTTTTGAACAAAGAAACCAAGATTCGACACAAAGGTCGGTTGTTTAGTTTCCATTCGAGTTGTTTTGTGAATTAACATGTGGTGCTGCTGTTCCATCAGAGAACATCTGCATCACTGATCTTATAGTCCCATAAAACTCCTCTGGCACTTGATCTCCGACGTTAACTCCTATTCTTGGTCCGGGCTCATCTGTAGGGTTGCTGCTACCACCAGGCCTTCCCTGACCCATGTCCCTTAGCATGCTCCCGAAGTCAAACGGATGACCATTCACGTTGAATGGCATGGATGTGAAAGGTGGAACAGAGGCATGGCTCCTTGATCCACCACCAGAATGCTCTTGATTTGAATGACTTCCTGAACCTGAACTCTGATACCAAATAAAAGCAACACCAACCATTACCAATAAAAGTAAATCTTTAATATCTGGGTCACAAGTAGATCTCAACCTCCTAAGAGTAAGAGGTCAAGGGTTCAAGCCTCACCTTTTGGTGAGGTGTGTGCGAGTTTTGTCGTATATAAATATGGTATACTTCTTAAGAAAGGTAAATCTTTAGGGTGTGTTTGGTACGTGGGGATGGACAGTACAAAAGCTTGTCACGACATTAGATCGGGACAAGATAGAACCTAAGTGGGACAAAAATGCACCAAAATAGATGGAATAAAAATATGGGAAATGAGACAAGAGTTGGTAAATTACTAAACTACCCATGTCAAATTAAGACCCTAAAACCTTCCAAAATTCTTTCACCACCTACCTCACTCTTTCCCCTCTAGTCCCATTCCGTCCAGTTCTGTCCAGTCTCGTCTACGTACCAAACACATCCTAAAGATTTAATACTATAAGTGGGAACTTTGCAAAGATATCAGGTCTATTTTCCTAACTTTTTCCCTTCTATATGATTGTGTAAGTAGGTAATGATGGGAATCAGATTATATACAATATCAGTTAACCTTGAGTAAGTATCATTAAATATAAGGTTGATTAGGTCATTATGATTGTAATATTGTCCGTATGTTTCATAATTGGGTTTCATCATGATTGGGTCCCCGGCCTCCTATGTACTCTATATATTATCTTTATGTCGTAATAGAGACTTGGAAGGTTTATCCAGTAAGCCACATAAATAAATTTATAGAAGTATATGCTACCCTCTTTGAGCACTCCCAGTTCCCCACTGCACTGGTCCCACGGCCATCATGGGGGAGAAAAATCGTGGTTGGTGCCTATATTCAACTTGGGTCCCCAGATATGGATTTCCCACCTACTTACCGGCTACCGCTAACTCACCATGGTTATACTTCCCCATTAAAACCAATTTTTTCTCATCCAACCCCTCTTATATCATACATGTCCCATATTCTCATCAAGCACACATAACAAGCAACAACAGAAAGACACGTCTCCTCATGTTTCTCAATATGCAATTGCTTATTTTTCAGAAAGCATAGAAGAATACCTGACCACGTTGAGCTCTTTGTTGCTCTTCTTTGAGTTTCTGCTCAGCCGCCTATATATATTGACAGTGAAATAAAGCTCATATGAGAATGGTGAAATATATCATACAAGAAGAATGAAATAAGGCACAAAAACATATGCAAAAAGCGACAAGAGAAAGCCAACACAAAGATTAACTAACCTGAATATTTCCTCTTATCGATTCATTATTTGGATCCAACTGCAAGGCTGCATGAAAGCCAAAATAATAAAGATAGATAGGTGAACAAGTTTGTATGCTGATCCTATGACAATAGTAGAATCTAATTATTTTTCCTAGATTCAAGTGGTTACGATACGAAATTATGGATTTATATCAGAGATGGGCATGCCGGGATGAAACCCCCTAAAAAGCATGGATGGTTGCTCCTGCAGCGTAGTACGGTAATACCTTCAAGCCTATTTGTTTCTAGCAAGTATTCAGGTGCTGAAAAAGGAATGTAATTGTGAAAAAATAAGTGGAAAAGAAACGAATTGTGCAAATGTTTGATTCGTTAACTGAGCTAACAATTGGGATGTATTATTAGGGTGCTTGAGTTTTATTTCTATGCTAGTTTATTTCTTTCAGTTGTTACCGATTCGTCCTTTGAACATGTTGATCATCCATCTCAAAAGACCTCCAACTAGAGGAAACATGTGTAATTCTTTGATAATTGGGATTTGGGGTCTATTGTTAGTTAATTCCAGTTAGTGCTTAGTTCATGGGCCCTTGGGTCCTCGAGCTGTCTTTCCAAGCCTATATAGAGGTATTCTCAGTATTATATGGTGTATAGTTATTGACACCTTCCAAATAAATCATTTAGCTTTCACAAAAACCAGTTTCCTGGCGCTCAGTTCAGTACCTTATGCATCAGAAATAGTTTTGACGATATTTCTTGTCTAGTAAAATTTTAATTCATAGGTGGGATAATATAAACTAATAGAGAAAAATGTTGTTTTTGATGTTATAATTTATAAATCAGAACATGAATATGTACAAACCTTTCATAAATCCTTTAGCAATGGCATCCCTGTAGTTCCCTTGAGCATAATAAGTAAATCCTAGACGACTGTAAGCCTTGCTGTAGTTTGGGTCAATTGCAATGGCTTGATGGCAGTCACAGGTTGCTTCTGTATACTGCTTGGTCTGGGTGTAAGCAGCCGCCCTGGTAAGTCCACCAAAGTTAAATCAAACGAACAAGAAGACTGTAAAATTTGCAGCAAAAAGTGCATGTAAATAGGAAGAAACAAAGGTTGCAGTCTCAAAATTAACATAAGATGTCAATACAACTTGAATCATGGTAAACCTGATGATGATCATTCATGGGATCCAGGGGGTTATTCGAGATGAGATGTACCCCTAGAAAATTGGTATTGGTAAAAGTTCGAGAACCGAAACAGCACAGTTGTGCTTTTTAGACATGCCGATAGTAAAGTTACTGCTGATGTTGCACAACTCTAGGGGCAGATTAAATTTTTTTTTTTTGGGGGGGGGGGGGGATATGTGATACTCGAAATTGAATCCTGATTTTGGCAAAGATGTGTCATTTCATGATGTTTAGATGTAAATATGGGTTTGGTGATTTGGTTTAAAAGTTCAACTTTCTAAAAGTAGATACCCGTCATAGCATTTTTCATTAGCCATATGTTTCCCCACTCTTTTTCTACAGACCAGTAAGAGCATGTTAGCAGCAAAGGAAAATGAAAAGTAATGGACTGATGACTTTTGTTGTCATATATGGTATACAGGAATAAGATGGACAGACGGGCAGATGTTCTACATTTTATTTAATCTTTCATCATCATATATGTCCTTCATCAATCAACCAAACTTCCATGGCTCTTTACTTCTGAAAAAAATCCAGCAGACAACCCTCATGTTAACTATCATGCCTATTTACTGCATATGTAACAGGAAATAAACAAATACAGTGATACATAATTTTTGTCTTCAGCCAAAGCTCATATCCACCTCCAAGATCTAGTTAACTATAGAAGCAAAGTAATATGAGTTCAAAAACTCTTCACTTGTGTCTAGTAAGATGTGATTTAAGCCATCCGTAATCATGCTTGTAAGGACATACACACGAGGGATCCAGTTGAGTGTTCCATGTCATATGTTATTCGTTCACGACATTCTTCTTGTAGCGGGGTCGAAGATAGAGGTCCACAAAGTGGAGGGTGGTTTTGGAAACACGAGGCTTGAGTATTAGTTGCTCTAAGACAGAATACATATGGTCCGGTTTACAGGGGAATGAACTGATGATGGAGAAGTCAAATGGTACCCCAAAAGGACAGCTTCAAGTATTTACGCTCTATGATTCAGATAGAGGGAAAGGTCAAGGATGATGTAACGCGTCGCATAAAGGCATGGTAGCTAAAGAGGAGAGCTGCCACGGGGGTGTTGCATGACAAGAAGGCCCCACTAAAACTGAAGGGTAGCCATTAGACCACCTATGTTGTATGGGTCGGATTGTTGGACGACAAGGCCCATGATAGGAAGTTGCAGAAATGAGGATGCTTAGATGGACTGTGGTTGAACCGTGTTAGACAGGACACTGAACAAGGTATCAGGCGGAGTTGGGAGTTGTGCCTGTCACGAATAAATTGAGAGAAGAAAGATTGTGGTGGTTTAGACATGTTCACAGAGATCAATGGCGGCACCAGTGAGGGGGCAAGGAGGGGCAGACCAAGGAGGACATGAGATGAGCAGCTGAAGATGGACATTGCAACTTAACAATTCCGAGGACATGACCTCTAATAGATGTTTTTGGAGAGGTAGAATAATAGACTAGGTGTAGGACCTGTAGCAAGCGTGAATCCAACGAAAAATAGAGGGATGTGTGTTTTTCCTTTAACTTCTCTATGCCTACTTTTTTCTTTTTCTGTTGCTTACTATTTCTTACCTTTTCGTTCACATTTTTTACAAGCCAAGGGTCCTCATGGAAACAGCCCAGACCCTACTTTTGAGTGGGATATATTGAATTCATTTGGTTTGGTTTTTAATCATGCTTGTAATATCTAGGCTCCTAGAAGAAGAAAAAACTTGCAGCCTTCCATGTAGCTAAAGGCAATACATGACTCATAACAGTTACCAATGGTTGATTGTAACCCTTAACTTATACAGTTAAACCATCTCAATAAAGAGAAATGATGAACATTAAACCATAACCTTGTGGAAAGAGATGGAGAGAAGAGAGGAATATAGAATCCGTCCGAGTATAGAATAAGTACCCAAACACCTTAAGGTAGTTAAAAATTCAACTTTTAAAGTGTTAACAATGTCGAAAAGCAGTACACAAAAGTAATTCAGGCTTCATAATCCCAAATTACTCTGTAAACTCCAATTATTTGAGTAAACAAGTCACCTGTTGCAATAATAAACAGCATTATCATCACGAAGTGCTATAGCAATCGTGTAAAGCTCAATTGCCTCGGAATATATCTTTGATTGCATAGCTTTGTTACCTACATGAAGAAAAAGAATACTAAGTACAACTACTCATTAAATGAGGACATAAAGATTCAGTGACCATATATGACTAACAGTAACAATACAAAAATATCAGGAGAGACCAAAGGGCCTATGGCCTAGCGGTACGTAGTAACCCAACCTTCCTAGAGGTCAAGGGTTCAAGCCTCACCAAAGGTGAGGACTGTGTGTGAGTTCAATTTTTCCGTATATAAATATTATATACTTCAGAAAGATCAGGAGAGAACATATCTTACCATACAGTAAACGAGAAGAAGAACAACGCAAAACATAATACGGCAAAGATAATACCACATCAGGTCTCTCCTCTCTGATCATGATTATTAAATTTCATAACTTTCAAGTTAAAACATCATAATTGCGCTATGTATACTTCTTTTAAGTCCCTAAAAATATACAGGTACTGACTCTGTGAACCTTCTCCACGACTCCAACTTGGTATAAAAGTACCCTTCAGTATCATCAATTATTATAATTCATTTGCAACTAGCCCGTCGCTTCCTGCAATCAGTAAATGCAAGACCTTTCTGACTTAAAAGTTGGAGGGTGTCGATGTAGAGCCTGAGTTGTCAATTCATTCCCATAGTTAGGTTTGTAACAGCTGCTATGAAAGGTGCAAGGACGCTTAACCAATTCACAATACATCAAGGATCCACACAATCTTTCTAGGACATTAAGTCATAGGCTCTACCCTTAGGGTAGAGGCAAGGTCTGCGTACATCCTAGCCCCCAGACCTACCTATGCGCGTGATTTACTCAGTCCGTTTGGTTTGGTTTTTCAAATCATAAGGTTTCAACTGATTCATCTAGCTAAAGTATCCAAGCATTGACCCACCACTGAATGCAGTTGATGTAATTCACTTTTACTGATGTCCTGAACTACACTTTAGCCGTCTTAGTTCTTACAAATATGCCTTTAGTATAACTTTTTCAATGCTTTTACAAAAAGCGAGCATGTTGATCATGGTCCGTATGGAGATGCAACTGTAAGACATAATCACAAGTTCACAAGGTTTGACTGAAACTTACCTTGTACTTTGAAGGTGTCAGCCAAGTTTTTAAGATCAATTTCCTCACATCCAGATTTTTTCATTTCCTTGTATCAAAGAAGTGTTCCCCTTGTTAAAAGCATATTATGGAGAAAAAGCACAGCAACAACTAAGAAAGAGTATGCATCAAACAATATGACTGGAACAACAGTAGCTTACAGCAATAAAGTGCATTAAAGTAAAAGAATAATAAACCTGTAGAATTTCCTCAAGACCCGGCTCATTATATCTAAGCAGGAAGCGTGGAATGCAAACTAGATACAATGCAACATGTCAATGTGGTAGTGATGTCATGCAAAGGTGGTAATTCACTCTTCAAGGACAAGACTCGAGGATTCACAATTGGCAACCACCAATATCATTGTAATTCATCCAAATTAGCAGAAGACCGACATCACAAACATGATCTTAGTGATACTAAACTTATACATAACATTAGCATGACAAAAGATTTTAAGTTAATATCATACCATCAAAGCATTGTGAAACAGATGTGTAGTCCTATCCAGTGCCTGTTCATCATCTCCATTGGCTGTACTCCCAAAATAATGAATTTTTTCAAGGGCGCCAAAAAACTGACCAAAAAGTTCATCCTCCCGTACACCTGTCAATGACAAGATGCACTAAGTTGGTCATTCTCGGAGCCAAAACTTTCATAGTAAAAGACATCCAATTTGTTAAAGTCCACACTTGATATTTAGGTACAATTCAAGGTATTGTCAAGTCCCAATTCCGAGAGTCCTAGTTATATGGAACCCAGATGTGGGTACCATCAGGGGATATAATTCTATGTCTACATATATAGAAGCTCACCAAAAACAAGCATCCCCTGATACCAGATAAAAGAGTCATGTGGATTGTTGAATTTATCTCCTGTATAAGGAGCAAGGTATTGTAATGTAGCAGAGGAATCCGCCGTCACTTCAACAGCCTTCGATGGTGCTGCCTCCCGTAAGAGTCTGGGCTGTGTCTCAGTCCCAGTGTGGCTGATCATCCTCTCGGACCAGCTAAAATCCGGACTTAATTCTCGTGTCGTAAGAAAAAGAAAATAATCTGGGAAGGCAAGCGGATCATTTATGATGAAGAGGATGAGCTTCAAGAGAATGATTCAGAGTTCTAGCAGAGTGGAACCAAATATCTTATTATAATTTGATGATTCTAAATTGGAAAGAGATGGAACTCCAGTTCCTTCAGAAACGGTAAGATCTTTGACACAAAAAAAAGTGTGCAACTATTATGACTGACAATGACATACTTCGACCTTCTCAACTTCAAAAATATGATTAGTAATTCATGACACCAACTTTATATTGAATCCTACCGTATGGCTTCCTTTATATGCCTAAGAAATGCAGATTTCAGACTTCGTTCTACCTAAAGTGCTGAGTTAGTTAATTTGATCATCATCTGTAGGGAACACTTCACTATACTTTGTCAAAGACAAAACAAAAACTAGCGCTTTGTCCTGCTATAGCGTATATTGTAAATGATTAGATGTTTACTGTGAGGTACTCTAATTTTGCCCTCAGGGTGCATTATCCTGTTTTAGAATAACCACATAGTCAGGTAAACTGCCCAAACATGTAGGAAGTATCTAGATAAAAAAGTCCGACAAGTTAAAATATAAAAAATAATAATGCCACATGAGCCTGACAGCCCTCTCCACGTGGATAGTAGAATTGATGGCAGCAGCTCTGGAAGCTGAGTCGGTAAAAAAAACAAGAGCAACATGAAAAGAAAGCAAGAAAAGAACAATCACTTCCAAATTTATTGGATGTGATAGATGATCTGATATTTTCTGACCTTACCAGACAACGAGTAGCAATAGCTAGATCTAACACAAAGTCTCCATTTAAAAAAAGATCTAATGCAGGGTCCATGTTTGGAACCATAGTGAACAAATATCATTTAATTTTAAGAGCACGTTAATGAGAAATTAAGTGCTATTTGTTAAAGGTCTGCTCCAGATATATGAAGGATGATAAATAGGAAGCATGGAGCTTACTTTCTTGAAAATTGCTTCATACATATCCATGTTAGATCCTGGAAGCATACTATTCCAAAGAAGGCATTGAACCATGGCATGGATGTTAACTCTTGGATTTGTACAACCACCCAAACAACACTTCATTGCTCTGAAAATCAAGAGAATGACTAGATTCTCCATAGGATTTCACCTTTAAAAGCAAAAAGTAGGAGAAAATGAAGAAAGGAGTAGGAGACAGAGAGGTTTAAAGAAAATAAATAATGTACCAAAAATTCTGATGCTACAGCAGCAACTCAGAAGTTTTTCCACTTTATTTAAACTAGAGCCAAGGTTCTCAACTCCTTTCTTTGAACTCAATGACATGAAGTTCCCACCTCACACTTGTTAGTTTTTGTGCTTGAAAATTCTTTCCAAATTGAAAACAGCTATTCATCAGATCTTCAAAAATGATGTGTCATCTTTTATAAAAGGGTAAATTTTAAAATTTGTCAGTAGAAGGTTTTAAAAACAACAAGAACTCCAAAGTGTTTGATAATCACAATTCACAGCATCATGTCCTTTACACACATGATACCTAACTAATAAAGTGTTTCGTACCAAGCTTCACATCATTGTTTTCTTTAGCGAACAGAAAATGATTTTCATTTTCTGAAGAGGGTAGATACAAGTCCCCCCACCAGAAGCAAGGAGCTTGTATGATAATGCCAAACACATACATTCAAAGAGATTAAGCTTTGGTTTGTTCTTCTCAGAGTGAATTATATGATATACATAGGGGAATAATCAAACAAGAGCCACAAAAAGATTGAGAACCATGAGAACCAGTAATCTTATGTTGCTTCACATTATGAAACAATGCATGTGAAAAATGTAGTGTTGATTCACAATGTGATTATTTTTAAATGTGCACTTTTTTGTATTTTTTGTTTCACATGGTGAAACAACACTGTACTTTCACATGCATTGTTGCACAATACAAAACAACACAAGAATAGTGGTTCTCACAGTTCTCAACTCTTTGTGTGGTTCTCATTTGATTATACACACACATATATATAGATAATATACATATATTGGCTACTTCTTCCTTCATACCATTCAATTTTACCCTAAATTATTTTCTTGAAGGTCATTGTTCAATAAAAGTGGTCCACCAATGTGTAACTATAAAAAATATCGAAACTGAAGTTCAATTACAAGAAAAAACATATAACATATTTGCAAGTCTATATGAATGCAATATAAGGAGACAAAATACATCTTAGCATCTAAAAAATATATATTTGGGAAATAAACAAGATTTACCTATGGTTCGAGTATCCTGTCTCCCGATGTCATCCTACATAAGAAGTAAAGCATGAAGAAGGGCAAACTGAATATTCATCATAACTTGATAATATTTGTACTGTATACATACATTAAACAGAGATGATCAAAGCAGCACCAAAAACCTTAGGCAGATAAACTTATATAACTCTACTTATGCAGTACTTACCTGTGCGAGAATGCATACAACCAGTGCAGTGTATCTAATTATTCCCAAGAAAATGAGGCAAAGAACATAGTGGCTCTATTGTAACCCCTCTACTCAATCACCAACTAGGTTCACGAATTGTCTGTCATGCCCCATTCTTTGTGTAATTAACTCAAGTAATTTTTAGTTTACATTTAACCTTTGTTTCATATGTTCCTATGTTTTTAGTCTTTTATGTGTTGGCCATACGACCATAACCATGGTTGAAAAATGTTCAACCACAATAACTATGTTCATTGTCAGCCAACAGACAAGCCCCAACCAGTTGATAAGCTATAATTCTAGGAAAGCTTACTGAATGAGTGTTCGATAAAGTCAAATGGCATGTAAGAGATGTTGGTTGGAACCAAGGTTTTAAAGTACGAAAACGTGAGGCGAGGCGAGGCGAGCCATAAGCCTCAAGGCAGTCCGAGGCATAAGTCTCGAGGCGGAAAATAAAAAATAAATAAAATAAATTATATATGTAATACTTAGCTGATAATAATATTTAGAATCATAATGCTGCTAATAAAATCTTTAAATACTTTAATTTAGGTAATTAATTGTTAAAGATTTTATTTTTTAGTAAAAACAATAAAGAGAAACACTAAAAGCCTCTCACATAACCACAAGGGTGGCGCCTGATTGGTTTGAGCTTGGCTCCAAAGGTCAAAAGTACCAAGAGGTCCCAAATTCAAATCCAAGGAGGAATAAAAATCCCCTTGTGGCCATGGAGGTTCAAATGCGGTGACTCCGGGCTATCTGCAAGGCAGGTGGTCGCCCTGGGATTAGTCAGCTCGCATAGCGGATTGGATATCCAGGTTAATAAAAAAAGCCTCACATAAAGAGACTTTAAAAGCCTCCTACATAAAGAGAAACATTAAAAGCCTCCCACATAAAGAGAAACAATAAAAGTGACACATACATTAAGGAGACGGAGAAAAGTCACTCCTGCTACGTAAAATCGAAGAGTCCTTATGCACCTCCCAAGTCGCATCCCTAGCACGTAGTCTTACTATATAAAAACGAGATCACACATGGCAATAAGTTTTCTTCTTCAATGGCCATGTAGAAGGACAAAGCAAGGAGCAGAGGTTTCACTTCAATGGGTCATCAATCCATAAGTATATTTTCTTTGATTTGGCATATTTTTTTAACCCTAAAGTCTAAGCACCGCCTCAGACCCGCCTCAGTAGTTCGAGGCGTACGAGCCAACCAACCTAGCAGAGGCGCCGCCTCAAGAATGTTTTTTGACCGCCTCGCCTCGACCGTTTTTAGCAACCATGGTTGGAACATCATGCTTTAAAATACTAGCCTGAAATTTTGATCTAAATTATAGTTTTTCTATGAAGTTGTGTCGGTAGGAGAAGCGCACATGTGTGTATCATCCCCCCTAACTTAGTTCATTGCACTATTAAATGACCTTATCTTCTGGAATATGTTGTTGGTTTCAAGTATTTTCTCACATTATTCACAGGCACTTTGGGTTTATAAATATAACCTAGAATACAATTTTACTTCTAATATTTTTGTGCCAATGTAAACCTCCATTTAACATGTTGGTCAAAATACTTTGTAGTGATAATACTAAAAATATTTTAGACCTACCCTCACATCTAAATGAGATAATGCATGAATCGCTGGTGCGTATAATTGGCTCAGGAATGTTTTTTGTCATCTGCTTACATACAAGTATATCTTTAATATAACAATAAGTAGTACTCATTTATAGTTTAGATACATAGCATTACATTTTGTCTTGCAAGCGTTTGCTCACTTTTTCGTGTCACATAAAAAATATTTGGTTGTTTGTTTCATCCACTTTGCGACCTTAAACTTGTGTTTTGTTGCTACTCATTTGTGTAAAAAAGGTTATAGTTGAACAATTTTGTTCTTAAAAAATATTTCACCGGAACTGAAATTTTCATTCAAGTCTCTAAAGATATATCACAGAATTTTCCTCCAACTGCACATCTTCCTCAAGGGTCTCAGGCTTGCGTTCCTCAATGTCAAGACTCCTGCCACTATTGCTATCCATCCTATCGGCTTATTCAGGCCTTTCTCTTAAATATCGCACTTACCTAATTATCATATTCTGAGAATGTGTTACATGCACTTTAGCACCTTTCATGGTGTAAAGGCCATGAATGAAAAAATAACTACACTTTCAAAGAATAATAATAGCATATTGAGACCTCTTCCTTTTTTAAGCATTTCATAGGTTGTATATAGGTGTGAGCTTCACAACCATCTTTTCATAGCTTAAAGTCCCATTGTAGGACCAAGGTTCTAAAGTACGGAAACGTGAGGCGAGGTGTTTTCCCTCCGCAAGGCATAAGCCTCGAAGCAGTCCGAGGCGTAAGTCTTAAGGCGGAAAATAGAAACAAACAAAATAATATTATAAATGTAGTACATAGCTGATAATAATATTTAGAAATATAGTGTTATGAAGTCTTCAAATACTTTAATTTAGGTAATTAATTGTTAAAAAAATTATTTTTTTAATAAAAACAAATTAGATAAACGATAAAAGTCTCCTACATAACGAGAAACATTAAAAGCCTCCCACATAAAGCGAAACATTAAAAGCCTCCCACATAGAAAGAAACAATAAAAAGTGACACAAATGTCAAGAGAAGAAGAAAAGTCACTCCTGCTATGTAAAATCGAAGTGCCCTTATGCACCTCCCAAGTCGCATCCCTAGTACATAGTCTTACCATATAAAAACAAAAAATCACACATTGTAGTAAGTTTTCTTCTTCAATGGCCATGCACAAGGATAAAGCAAGGAGCAGAGGTTTCACTTTAATGGGTCACAATCGGTAAGTATATTTGGCATATTTTTTAACCCTAAAGTCTTAGTACCGCCTCAGATCTGCCTTAGTAGTTTGAGGCATACGACCCAACCAACCCAGCAGAGGCGCTGCCTCAAAAATGTTTTTTGACCGACTTGCCGCCTTGACTACTTTTAGCAACCATGCATAGGACTACGTGCTATTGTTGAACATTAAGTATTTAGATTCAACTATTGTCTAGATTCGTATTGTTCACATTGGTGTTCATGACTCACATATCCATTCATTTTATGTCAATATCTTTCCTAATAGTTTTCTTGATTAGGCTTATATGTAGCAGACACAAAGTTTTCTGGTGGAGGTGAGCTTCTAGAGTCTATAGACAGTCGGAATTTTTTTTATCTGCCCTTTTTCTCCACACATGTATTCATGTGAACAATCAGAATGTCATAATGTTGAACTGCTGGTGTGAACCATCAAACTTTTTAAAAGAGTGGCATTTGTGTGACAATGGTGGTGGTGGTGGTGATGACGAGAAAAGAAATCCAAAACACGTATGGGTAATAACAAAATTTATGTATGGGTAATAAAAAAAATTAAGCAACCTATCCAACTTTATAAGTCTAACATCAAAATACTTAGCTTATTAAAAAACTGTGAGTTTGCAACCATGAAATATTAAATGAATTTGTGAACCTAAAACATCTTTACTTGAGGATGTCAAAAATCAGGCACATATAATGCATAACAATAGTGTGAGGTTATAGGCTGAAGACATAACATGATTACCAGACATTCTGGTGTCGCAGGAATTTTAGTATCCACAGTATTATTAGTGCATGATGTATGCGATGTATCTGGTCGATATTCCTCATGGATCTGATCTGACTTAATCTCGTTGTGTCCTGTTTGTGAACTGAATATCTGGACCAGAGAATCAGATTTTGCTACACTACGATTAGCCGATGAATCGATCTTGAAAGCCTCTGATAAGCAGTCTTTTGCAACCTCGAGACTTTCAACATCACTAGTAGAAGAAGGTTCAACTGTAAAACAGGTTTTGGTGCAACTATCAATAAGAGCAAGCAGCCACACAAATTTTTTTAGCATAAACACAGCATGTGATATACAGTTTTGGGAAGTATATTGCTAAAAAAGTATACATTAAATAAATATAGACATAAATAAAGATGTAGGAAATGATCTTATTTAATCTATACTTTAGACTACTACACCATCAGCAAAGAGCATACACCATCGGATATCATCTTAGGTGGACTTCATGAGCCCATCCTAACTAAAGCAAAGAGATGAGGGCTTAGGCAAAACTTTGTCATGGTCGTGTTCTATATACAAAAGACTTTGGTGGCACTATGTCATGCTCCCATACTAGTTACTACCCATACAAAAGACATTGGCATCTCCTACAATCAGGTACCAATAATTCCTTTCCCATTGGGATGCTTGACAAAGAGGTATGCATGGATCAACCAATTGGTTCGATGTTCGTGAGGAGGCCTCTAAGGTTTGTCGTCTTGGGCATTTCTAGTATGCCTGGCAATCTCTCAATGCTTGGTTTCACCATTTCTCTAAGATTCTTCAACAATTACCATTATCTAGGAGTGGCAATCACCATTTCGTCTTATATTTACATCAACATAATACATATATTCTCTTGGCGGTTTATGCATATGGCAATGTTCATACAAAGAATGAACCTTATGTATTGAGGTGCTACAAAAGTTCATTATGCAAAACTTAAACGACTTCAAGATAGAGGTCTCAGAATCCCAACAGCAAATACCTTTTTAGTCACAAAAGGAAGTTTTGTATATCCATTCTAAGTGCAGACTACTAGGGAAAACTAGTAATTGACCTATGTTGACTTTTTCCTCAAGTTGGTAAGCCTCTTCAAGATCTTGAGAAGTACGAACACGTAGTGGGAAGCTTAAGTACTTCACTATTACATGGCAAGTTATCTAGTATTCCATTAGTGGGTTTGGTCAGTGCATGTCAGATCCATACGCTGCTTAGCAAAGATATCAGATTTAATCATAAAGATCCAAGACATAACTCTTATCAAATCTAATCATAAAGATCCGCGGCATGCCTCTTCATTAATATGATTGAATTCCTTACACAACAAAAAGAAAGTGACAAACAAATCTCCCACCAAATCCATGTGTTCATGTTTTAGGAAATCTTTACCTCATTAACCACACAAAAAAACTCTGAGATGAAAATAAAAAAAAAATGTCAAGAGGTGCTTTGTGATCCTTCTCTTTTATTTGCTATTGGAACATAGAAAAACTAGGGCAAAACGAGCAAAGCTTTACTTCTCGAGCACTCCATCATTGGTGAAGACAGTGGAGAGACAGATGTAGGCATAGGTTGGGAGGGATGAGCGAAAGCAATTGGAAAGAGAGAGAGAGAGAGGAATGGGTTCCGTCATTGTGGATTGGTGGGTAAAAGTCATTTTTAGTGTTTGTGCCATCCTAAGGGGTGGTGAGCCACTGAGAAATTGAAAATTCCATAAGTTTATTTGGGTTATGTTCACTTCTGGAATAGGGATCAAGACTTGTAACCTACTGATCTAAATATTTGGTTCCACAAAACCAGTTTCATGGTCTGCAAACTGTCGTTTTTTAAAATGAGACATAAAGAAGCCTAAAACTAAAAACTTATATGATGAAAGTGGGAAATTTCCTAAATTTAACTTCCAAACAAGACAACAAGTAATCAAATCTCAGTCAACCAGAAGAATCCGATCAGTCAAAGTGAATGAAACATGAAGTTCAGTTTCACTGGCAAGAAAGAGCAATACCTACTGAAATCTCCTGAGTACAGTTTCTCCCCAGTAGTATTTCCGTCTAAAAATGTGGACTTATCCCTCCCTTTGTTGGGAGACGAACTCTTACGTTTGTCCGCCTAATATTGAATTAATACCATCTCAACAACCATGTAGGTCTTGATTGAATACGAACCCCAATTACCCTAATTTCCTGCTTAACATGGAATGCTCCGCAGATATCATCGATCAACAGAAGATGGTAAACCTAATAACATCTTTCACTTAAGTGACAAACCCAAACTGACAATTGGATCAAACGTAAAAAAGATCAATAACTTAGTATCGCTGTTTCCAATTGTATCGCAATAACGATGAACATGCACCCAAATAATACATAAACATACATAGAGAAAGAATATATGATCGCATATAAAGAAAGAGAGTCGGGTACAGAGAAGGGGAGTGAACCAGAATTGAGGAAGTCCAGGAAAGATAGGACGATGCGACGACAAAGAGGAGAATCCGCCTTCAAGTTCGCCATCGTTATCGTCGTCAGTAGCAGCAAGGTGGAAAAACAAGATGCACTCCGTACGTTCGAAGTGCACACATATGCAAGATACTCAGTCTTAACCCATGGAACTTTACCATTTTGATTTATTTCTATCATCTCAACAATTTTTAAAAAATACAGAATTAAAACATAAATTTAAAAAATTAAATTCATCAGATTTTCTATTTTAAATTTTTTAATATAAATTATATCATTATAATATCATCTAATTTATTATAAAAATACAATAAAAAAAGCTTTTTAATGTCTCAATTTTATTAGTAGAATCTATACTATATTATAAAACATTTGATAAAAATTCTTAAAAACCATTTTTTATGCATGAAGTACTGTTTATTGATTCATATTACTTAAAATTCAAGATTACAAATAGGTTGTGCATAAGTATAACTTATTAAAACTTTATGTTTGAATTCATGTAACTAACTGTAGATAAACATAATCAAATAGAGGATAAACATCTCATTTTAAATATAAAAGATCTAAAATATAATTAGGATAATCATTAAGTTATAACAAAATACTTAATTATTATCTTTGTAAAAAAATATATTATTAAACCAAAAATAAAAAATGAATTAAAGAAATACACAAAAAAAGGATAAATTATAAATAGTTAGTTTGATACTAATATCAATATTTTTTTTCAACTTTTATGATCTATCTTCATATTTATTCAAAAATAAAAACATTATCGATTTCTCAAAAACCACATCAAACCGTATTATAACATCGACTGAGAAAAAAACGAAACATTAAAATTGAAATGTATCTCGTTGCATTGTGTGAATACCCTTCTAGTTGAATAAAATAATCATCTCTCTCTTCTAACATCAAGTTTTTGAGAATTCTTTATATTTAGGCATTGTTTGGCAAAACTAGTTTATTTTTTGGGCACATGTGTGAATGCATATAAGCTAACTTATTGAAATGCTACTTGAAGTAGTATTTTGGTAGCTTATTGTCAGTTTTTTCGATTATAACTCTTAGGGGTGTTCGTGGTCCGGTTTGGGCGGTTTAACCCCTCAAACCACAAACTAAACCGTAATAGCGGTTTATAAAATTTTTAAACCGAGCGGTTTGATATTAAGTGCCCAGACCAGTCAAACCAGACCACGAAAAAGCAGTCTGGTCTGACCGGTTTAGGCAGTTTGGGCCTTTAATTGACTTTAAATATTAAACTTAAAAAACATATGTAATTTAGAATTTCAGATTAAATATCCATTTTAACAAAACAAAATATCTAAACCAATAAATGTAATAATTAAACAGCTCTTGAGTATAAAGTCGAAACAATCCAAAGTACAAATAAATAAATATATAACATATTAGAAAACAAACAAATTAACAAAGTTACAACTCTACTGCAAGTATTGAGTAACAAAATCCATGAATTCACAACCTTCAATGGTTCAATTCTTGAGTCTTGACTCTTGAGTTCTTGACCAAACAAAATAGAAGTCAAATCTAAGTTGGTTGAATCACTTGGTTGATGTCTTGATGACGTGCGCCGAAATCAAACCATGGATTAGAACGATCAATAGATTGATGGAGTTCGTGAGAGATTTCAAAATTTGGAGACCGTCAATATCAAATATGTCGATATGTTCAATGGTTTAATGGTTTTAGTCGTCGATTTTGATTATGTTAGATGTTAGGCTTAGGGATATATTTGGGTCATAGCCAATAAGTTAAAAAAAATTGGGTTTGCTAATATTAAAATAGATAAATAAATAAATAAATAAATATGTATTTGGCGGTCGGTGTCACACCCCGTTAAAGCGGAAACACGAGATGAAACAAGTAAGCGAGTCACAGCAACAAATATTAAATAACACCATACAATTTTTACAAGATTCGAATTTAACATCCGTAACCAAGTTGGAGATAGAATAATTCTTTACAAAAGTTTCAAAATAAACTTAATCGGTGTCGTCACATATATGCTCCAAAACTTCATTTCTTACTTATTTCTTGAAAATCATGAAACATAAAACAACGTCAACTACAAAGAGTTGGCGAGTTCACGGATTTTCATATGCACAAAATTATTTTCAATGCATAAATCAATTCTTGCAAACTAATACATAAACTTGCACCCGATAAATGTAAATCTATAACGATGTTTAAAACTTGAGACGCTACTGAGCCTTTCCTGACCAATGTGCCCCATTATTTTACGAACTACCATAAAATGTCCCGCGCTCACTAAGGTACCACAGTTCGTATCAGTACTACTTCAGCGGTGGCCCGTTCGCACACATGAGTAGACTATTAAACATAGATAATGTGCACCCGTTTTTGGGTGGGACTGTCAACACAATAGCGGCTATCCACAATTACCACGGCCCGGGAACACTAGTAGCATTTACGGGAGGGGACTTTTTAAAACATATCGTCTCAAGTACATCAATTTACCATTTACACCATAGTGCAATACAGTCAATTTTTCATAACTTCAACAAATCTTGACTAAACAGTTCTTAAGTCCAACAGTTTTACAATAAACAGTATAGTTTGCATAACTTCATGCTTTTCCCCCAGTTTAAATAAACAAAAAACATTAAAAGTAGAGCCGTGAATACTCACAAGTTTGCTGATGAATATCCAAGAATTTGATGACGTTTGAAGCACTATACGTCTGCCCTAACTTTCCTAAACAGTCTGAAATTCAATAGTTAGATTACCTATCGGGTCTCGATAAAGATAAAGTCAAATTATATCTTATGTAATGTCAATGATTTTTTATGAATTAAAGTTGATACTTATATCATTTGCTCTAAAAATAGTCCGAAATTATACATTTTAAAATCAAAGTCCTTTGCACATAGAGTTACCACTTGGACAGAATGCAAATTCTGTTTCTGGAATTTTGATCTCACAAATCACTGTCAAAAGGAATCTTCCATAACTCTTTTGAGTCCAAATTTTTATACCATAAAAAATAATGAGTTAAACATATTTTTCCTAAATATCAAGAATTTTGGATGGGTTTAAGGCACTCATCATTACCCTACAACTTTGAGTGACACAGTCCCCAAGACAGATTGCACACTCTTCGAGTAACGGCCGTTTGGGGGGTCTAAACTCATCATTTTTTAGTGATTTTAACTTTATTTTAAAGCTAACACATAAGGTTAACTTCTAGAAAAATAATCACTCATTTTCATTGAGTTTTGAAGGAGATAAGACCGTTTTAGAATGCATGCAAGATTCTGTCAACAATAATCTTTTTGCACCATAATCTTGTATCAAGAACTTAAAAGGCTCAAAACTTAATATTTTTGAGTGAGACCAGTTGCATTAGAAAGATAACTCATTAAAATAAGTTCTTGAATGGAAAATAAACTATTTTGAAGGAATATCCAGAGAGATATGGTGGTCCAAAGTAGGTTTTACCTACTGTCAAGTGTGTTGTTGCACACTTGTTTTGTTTTAAACACTAGAAGGTTCAAAACTTACTTTTTTTATGGACAAAAACCCACATGCAAACACTTTTACCAACTTTTCTTGAGTTCTAATATCTGTAGGTTATAAATTATCATCATTTTGAGGACATTTTCATGTCATTGATGTATAATCTCCCATCTTAGATTCTCCAAAAAGTTTGTTTATAAAAAGGAGAAAGAAGAAAAGTGTAGAACATGATAAATCATATCGAAAAATAAGGATAAAGCCACTAGTCCCTTACCTTTTGCTTGCAACTTCTTGAAGTTTTGAATGTTCTTCAAAATGATGGAATTTGAAGGGTTTTGGGGAGTGATTTCGGGTGGAGTGGAAGAGGAAATGAATATTTCAAAAGAAATGGAGTTTTTATATGTGTTTTAAATGTGAATAAAAGGGCCGGCCTCTTAAGGTCCAAGTTCATAACAATAAAATTTTATTTTTTTCTTTTAAACAAAATAAAACCCATTTAAATTATAACAAAAATACATTTTATCAAATATTGATAAAAATATCATTATTAAATCAAAGTTCCACATTTTTGGTAAGATTATTTGGACATTCAAATGAGACTTTTATATTTTAATTTGGACTTTGTAATATCAACTTTATTATATTTAGAGCATTTTTTTATATATAATTGGCATTACATAAGTTAACTTTATCAGTTACCCGTCAAAACAAAGTTTTCTGAACTATATTTTGGAAACTAAGCCAGATGAATTCTAATCAACATGACTAAATCCTAATAATATAATTCTAAATATAGAAACCCTATAAAGGTGCTAACCTAACGCTCCAAAAATGACAGATGTCACAGTCTCCCCATGCCGGAAGAATTTCGTCCCGAAATTTTATTCGTCAGATCCTAGTTTAAGACTCGTTTTAGAACAAGTGGGGATACTTGCTTTTCATAAAATCCTCTCTTTCCTACGTGTACTCCGGTCCATGCCTCGAAGTCCAATGAAATTTTACAATTGGGATCTTGCCATGCCTCAACTGCTTGACTTCTCTATCCATGATTTCTATTGGTTTTTCAACGAAGCGAAGATGATCATTAATTTGTACATCTTCCAATGGTATGACCAGTGTTTCATCGGTTAAACACTTTTTGAGGTTTGATACATGAAATGTATCATTAATAGCGCTTAATTCTTGTGGCAAATTTAACTTATATGCCACTGGTCCAATTCTCTCAGTTACTTCAAATGGACCAATATATCGGGGACCCAATTTACCACTTTTTCCAAAACGCATTACTCATTTCCATGGTGAGACTTTTAAGAGTACTTTATCTCCTTTTTCAAACTCTAATGGTCTCCTCCGATTATCAGCATAAATTTTCTTGCGATCTCTTGCAGCCTTGAGTCGATCCTTGATAGTTACAATCTTGTCAGTAGTCTCTTGGATAACATCAGGTCTAGTTAACTGCCGATCGCCAATTTCTAGCCAACTGAGTAAAGATCTGCATTTGCGTCCATATAATGCTTCATAAGGCGCACACTGAATACTGACATGGTAGCTATTGTTGTATGCAAATTCAACTAACGGAAGGTGCATATCCCAGCTTCCACCAAAATCTATGGTGCATG